TTAGTTTAGTGAAGAGTTTTTAAACCTGTAAAGTTTGGTATGCTTGAGCTCTCCTTAATGTTGACTTGTATGACCTTTTCTGGCTAGCATATGCATCTTTGAATAGACTTTGAATGTTGAAACTCAGTCATTCAAAGCAAAGATGATGTAAGCTTTTTGGTAACAGTGGTGGGAGGTTAGGATGTGTCTGAGAAAGAACCTAGATAATGCAGTGTTTGTGTGTCTCAACGTTTCTTATTGATCACTTTGATCTTCTACAACAACAAAAAACAAAAAAACCCAGTGTAAATTCATGAATGAGGTCTGGGGAGGGCAGTGTGTACACAGACCTTACCCCTACCTTGGGAAGGTAAAGAGGTTGTTTCGATAGATCCTCTGCTCAAATAAAGATAAGGAAAAGAAAGAAAATAAAGAAGGGAAAGCATTCCAAAGCAGTTTTGGATGCATAAAATCGAAAGTGAAGAAGCCATGGCAAATAGTAAGAAAACATTACATAGCATTTCACAGATAAATAATATGATAACCAAAGTACAAGAAACAACAAATAATACTAACAGGAATTGAAGAACAAGAAACTACTAGAATAATACTAATACTAAGAAAGTAGATGCAGATATGGTGCTCCAAACTACCACCAAGCCTATCCCAGTGGAAAGTGAGACAACACTCAACTACTAACATCACTTTGATCTTCTCTTTATTGCTTTTCTTATGCTGAGAGCTTTTAACATGACGTGTACATGCCTTCCATTTTGATACCTGAACCAATAATTACCGGATTGATTGAAATGATCATCTTCTTCCTTGTATTGTTTCTTTATGTCCAGATTGACACACTACTTGCCTGTGGTGGACTTGCAAAGAATTGCCTATTTGTTCAAGAGCATGCGGATATTATTGGTCTCTCTCTCTCTCTCCCTCGTTCCCATTTTATGCTATTTATCAATGAGTTATGTGATATACATGAAGTGGATGAAAATGTAATGCATTTACTCTCTCTGCATAAATATATTGCAAAAGATTAATGAGAGAACTAAAATTTATTAAAATAGTTTCATTAGCTCCCAAGGTATTATAAAATGAAATTATGATATGTTTCTAGTGGGGCATTTGAAAGAAATAGATTAGTTAGTAGATTGTGTCTCACGCAACATTCTGAATCAGTTAGTCAGTTGAAGCAAATTAAAACCAAAGCTAAAACGTTATTGCGTTACCCAGTGGTTCAGGAGCTGCTAACTGGCATTTAGGTCTAGAAGAGCATCTTTCACAAATCGAACTTTTGGGTATTTGTTTAGCTATACTTGTAAAATTCATTGTCCAACCGTCCTTGTTGATGCCGGCAAAAGTAGACAAAGCTTGCTTAGCATCCTCGTTGTTGATACCAATGCAAAAAATCAAAACTTGCATAATATCCTTGCTGGGTTTCCTCTAGAACAGTACAACGACTACACCTCAGTTCCAAGCAAGTTGGGTCGGCAAAATAAAAACTCTTTGTTGCCGGTGGTCGAACCTCGGTCAGTCGGTCACCATCGTGATGGGCGGGAATACTCACCAGTATACTACAACAACTTGGTTAACTCCCCTAGAACAGTAAACGGTGAAATAGAAGGAAATAACCTGAAACAACAAGTTAGGAAGTGATAGACTTCTATGGATGGTAATGAATCCTAAACTTTCCCTCGAGCTTTCCAATTGCTGGAAAGGGTGTATTATAGATTTCAATTTATTATCTTTCAGTATCTCTGTGAAGCCTTCAACATTGGTACTGAATAATCCTAGATTTCTCCGTGTTTGGATATATTAATCAATTCCAAGCTGTATTATGTCTTGTGCAGGTTACCCTATCATTCTCCCTCGCGAAAATGAATCTGTGCTATTGGGGTCTGCTATTCTTGGTGCTGTTGCGTCAAAGAAATATCATACTGTTCGTGATGCCATGAAGGCAATGAATGCAGCTGGTCAGGTGTGCGACTGTTTACACTATCTACTTTTCTCACTGAAAGAACAATCTTTTATGACATAGCTGTTGCCTTCCTGAACTTTAAAACATTCATTTGTTTATTGTCCATTCTCTCTCTCTCTTGCAATTTGCTCATGCTTTTGCATTTTTAACTTTTAAAATTCCATTGGCTCCGACTTTACCTCTCCGTGGTTGGTCGATTTGGGTAAACTTGTCTCTTTTAGGAACTATACCATCCACACCCTGATGCAGAAATCACAGATAATAAAATTCCTTGTGTTTAGATCTCGTTGGGACAACAGATTAAATGTTCCGCGGAGTCTTTTACTGCACTTTCATGTTACTTGCTTAGAGAGGCTGTCTTCATTCTTGTGTTTGCTTCTTCCTGACGACCTAATGGAAAGACACCCCGTCTTCTCTCCTCCACCGCCACCCTTCTTGGTGCCATACACCAGATTCTAGTAATTTTATCTTTCATCTCCACCTTGGAACTAAACTTGGCTGCTACTTGAAAAATGTCTTTCCTGTTAAGGTTCATTGTGCCATATTGTTCTTATGTTTCTCATGCGGTTGATGGCAGGTTGTTCATCCGTCTCAAGACGTGAAAGTGAAGAAGTACCACGATGCCAAATACAGCATCTTCCGCGACCTTTATGAACAGCAACAGAAGCATCGCTCACTTATGGCCGAGGCTCTGTCATGAAGTTTTTTTCCTTCATTGTTGTCGCGCCTTTTGGTATACGGATTACTACAAACCATGTCATCCAGGAACGAAGGAAAACGCGATACCAGTTCCCAGTCCCCCTCCTCTTCCTCCTGCATTTCTTTGAACCACATTATGTAGTGTATAAGAAGTCATTTGAAAATGTTCACCTATTCAACTATTATCACATGTACAGTTGAATTTTGTTTGACTTGTTCATGTCATATGAAAAATTCTTTATGTTTTATGTCAACGGTGTATATAACTTAAACTCATTTCGAAATGATTTCAGAATTCAAAGTTAACCGAATATTACATAACAAAATTGGAAACTCGCAAGAAAGATTAACACTAAAGTATTCATTCTTAAATGTGTCCATTCCTTCTGCTTGTATAACATTATACATATAAATGTGTGTATATAATACATACATATAACACAAATGAGAAATTCGCGCTTTATTAAATCAAAGTTAAATATTCTTGGTGAAATTTAAATCATCAATATTAGTATTCAGTTGTTTACATCAAATCGATCTACGAATCCTTTGACTTATTAATAACATTTGATGTCTTTATTTTGTTTTGTCGACACTAATGTCAATATCTTGTTGGTTGGAAGTTAGGTGTATTTTTTCCCTTTACCAAGTAATGCATAAAATTAGGAAGACTATTCTTCATCCAATTTGAGCCATTTATTAACTATATTATATATTATCGCGTTCTCATTTTTCTAATGAGTTCAACGTTCAGAGTTGATTTCTCATATGATCACAAAGTCACTTGCTTTGTTAAAGATAATTTCAGATATTTATCCATCATAAGTATATCAAATTACCTTAAAAAAATAAATTAGACTGACTGCAAAAATAATTTTTTTTCTCTAATATTGATTAGAAAAAAATTAGTATTCTACACACTTAGTAAAAAATTGGAACTTATAACGTGTAAAGAGTACACTCAGTACAGTACTATTGACATTTAGACCATCTTGAATTTTGTCATATTTGCTGGTTTCCTTGATTTTGACTGATTAAGGTTCACACTTTAATAGGATTTTAAACCTTTCTCATTATTTGAAATCATTAATAATCAAGTTCCTATCTACTATAAAGTCAATTTCTTTTTCGGTTTTTCATTCGGTATCTGGTATTCACATTAGGATCCAACTAATTCAAATTCACGCAAAGGAAAACACTCTACCAAGATTTGTTTTCCATACCTAAAGCTCAAAATCGAGATCTTTGATTAAGGGTAGAGGAATCCTATTCTTCCCACCACATCCTTTGGCGGTATCTACTTCAAAGTTATACTTCCTCTGTTCCAATTTATATGATTTACTTTCATTTTTGGTCAGTTAAAAAAATGACATATTTCTATATTTAACAACAATTTAGCTTTAAAATGATCATTTTACCCTTAATAAAATGATTTATAGTCACACGAATATCGATAATTCATTTTAGACCATAAATTTCAAAAATCTTTTTTTTCTTAAACTCCGTATCAAGTCAAACTAAATCCTATAAATTAGAACGGAGGGAGTAATCTTTGGTCAAACATGAACATCTCACAACATTTTTTAAATTCCCATTGGAAAAAAGATGACAAAAGAACATAGCAAGTACTACAAATTGTTTATAAATAGCTTGATTATTACACATACTTAAATAAGTACTTTCTAGTCTCCTTTAACAATAGCATCTTCTTGTACTTTCTAGTTTAAAAAATGACATATTTCTATATTTAACAACAATTTAGCTTTAAAATGATCATTTTACCCTTAATAAAATGATTTATAGTCATACAAATATCGATAATTCATTTTAGATCATAAATTTCAAAAGTTTTTTTTTTCTTTAACTCCATGTCAAATTAAACTAACTCATATAAATTAGAACGGAGGAGTAATCTTTGGTCAAACATGAACATCTCACAACATTTTCTTAATTCCCATTGGAAAAAAAGACGACAAAAGAACATAGCAAGTATTACAAATTGTTTATAAATAGCTTGATTATTATACATATTGAAATAAGTACTTTCTAGTCTCCTTTAATAATAGCATCTTCTTATTTTTGTCTGTTAGCTTATAATTCGAAGAGTAGATCTTTATGCCCAAGTGATTTCGTTAAATCATTTGAGAAGTTGGTCAATCTGGTTCAAATCACGAATTTCTTGAGAAAAAAAATCCTTGACAAGATGGAGAAAAGCTATGTTCTTTTCCTAATCTTATTAGTATTTCAAGAATCAATTTTTTCCCTACATGCAACTTCCACAAATGAAACAGACATAGAAACTTTGTTATCATTTAAACAACTCATTACAAATAACTCTTCTTTCCTTTCCAAGAATTGGACATCAAATACTTCATTTTGCTCATGGTTTGGTATCACTTGTAATCCAAAAAACCAAAGAGTCATAGCTTTAAATCTCCCAAACATGAATCTTCAAGGCAAAATTTCACCATCAATAGCTAACTTATCCTTTCTTACTATACTTAACTTTAGTAACAACATTTTTCAAGGCACTCTTCCTTATGAACTTGGAAATTTGCCTCTTTTGGAAGTCATTGATGTTCATAACAATCAACTAGAAGGAACTCTTCATCCTTTTGTTGGTAACATTACAAAGTTAGAGAGATTGAGGTTAGATGGAAATAGATTTAGTGGTAAAATTCCATCTGAGATTGGGAATCTAAGCCAACTTGTTGAGTTAGATTTGTCACATAATCAGTTTTCAGGTTCAATCCCTGGATTGATCTTCAGCATGTCATCGTTACGTGCTGTGTATTTGGTTAACAATAGTCTTTCTGGTTCATTCTTGGTTGATGAAATAAAGGGTATGATGAATCTTGAAGTTATAGACCTTAGTTATAATCGAATCATCGGTGAGATTCCTTCAAGACTTTGTCACTTCAGTAAGCTAAGAACTCTTGTTCTGTCTTACAACAATTTAACAGGTCAAATTCCGAGAAATATTGGTTGTTTATCAAGGCTTGAGAGTTTTTATATAACTCAGAATGCAATAAGTGGTACAATTCCACTTTCATTGAGTAATATTTCCACTTTTCAATTTCTTGGTTGTGTGAACAACCATATAAGTGGTACAATTCCTCAAGAACTTGGAAATTTACCAAACTTGAAGATGTTGGGATTTGATTTCAATAATCTTACTGGTGTAATACCAGAATCTATCTTCAATATATCTTCTTTGGAGTACATTGCTTTCAGTGATAACAATCTCTCAGGGCGAATTCCAACCACTCTTGGACTTAAACTTCCAAACCTTAAAGGAATTTTCTTGCCAGATAATCAACTTGAAGGACAAATCCCAATGTATATCACAAATGCTTCTAACCTTATTGAGCTAGAGCTGTCCTATAACTTGTTCACAGGCATAGTTCCAAGTGATTTGGGAAATCTACGCCAGCTCGAGTTCTTGAATCTTGGTGGTAATCAGCTTACAAATGAACTAGGACAAGAAGAGCTTGGATTCTTGAACTCTTTGGTGGATTGTAGGAGGCTGCAGTTTCTGATATTGGCTAACAACCCCTTGAATGGCGTCTTGCCTGATTCGGTTAGTAATCTTTCGTCTACTATTGAAATGTTTAACATAGAGAATGGTCAGATAAATGGACAAATTCCAAGAGGAGTAGGCAATATAAGCAGCATGTTATCGCTAGTCTTGAACGGTAACCGATTGACAGGAACCATTCCACCAGAGATTGGTGAGCTAAAGCAACTTCAGAGGCTTTATCTAAGCAAAAACAAGCTACAAGGTTCAATTCCAGAGGAAATATGTGACTTGGTAAACTTGGGAGATGCATTTCTACACGAAAACGAGCTCTCTGGGGCTATTCCAAGTTGCATTGGAAAACTCACTAGACTGCAAAGGCTTTCATTTGGCTTCAATAAGTTCACCTCAAGCCTACCTTCAAGTCTATGGGAAATGGATAGCCTGATTTTTCTAAACGTGACGCGAAATTCAATACAAGGGGAACTTCCTATTGACATTGGAAAATTGAAATCTATTGAAGGTATAGATTTTTCAAGCAACCAACTTTCCGGTGTGATTCCAAGTACATTCGGAGACCTCATAGGCCTGAGTTATCTTTCACTCTCAAACAACTCGTTACGGAGTGCAATTCCTTCATCATTTGGCAGTTTGTTAAGTTTGGAGTTCTTGGATTTATCTTCAAATGAGTTATCAGGAAACATCCCAAAGTCCTTAGAAAAACTTCAGTTCCTTAAAGAAATCAATCTTTCCTACAACCATTTAGAAGGTGAAATACCTACTAGTGGTGTGTTTGCAAACTCTTCTTCTCAATATTTTGTTGGAAATAGAGGTTTATGTGGAAAACCTATATCAGAAGTTTCTCAATGTGCTACGAAACGATCAAAGTCTAGAAAACATGTGCTAGTAGTTGTCATTCCTGTGATTGCATCAATTTTCCTCATATTTGTTGTTCTGTTCGTATGGATTAAGCGAAGATCAAGAAGAACAAAACTTCAAGACCATGATCAAGAGTTAACAGAAATCACAACACACCAGTTGATCACATACCGTGAACTTCAACAAGCAACGGATAGTTTCAGTGGCTCTAACATGATTGGTTCAGGAGGTTCTGGTTCTGTTTACAAGGGCATATTGGCTAACGGAACAATGGTCGCGATAAAGGTTCTAAATATGCAAAATGAGGAAGGATGCAAGAGGTTTGATACCGAATGTGAAGTGATGAGAAGCATTAAACATAGAAATCTTGTCAAGGTGATCACTACATGTTCCAATCAATACGTTAGAGCCATCGTTCTCGAGTATATGCCAAATGGAAGCCTTGAAAGTTGGTTGTATAATAAGGAACATCAAGTCTTAGACATGTTTCAAAGAGTTAGCATAATGCTTGATGTTGCAATGGCATTGGAATATCTTCACTATGGTTATGATACACCTATAGTCCATTGTGACTTGAAGCCTCAAAATGTTTTATTAGATGCTGACTTGGTGGCACATGTTGGTGATTTTGGCATTTCAAAGATTTTAGGTGAAAACAACTCCATGGCACAAACTAACACATTGGGTACTATTGGCTACATTGCACCAGGTAAACAGTTCTTCTCTGACTACTCTTCCTAATATAAGGCATATTTTCGGTCATCTTCTCTCTGAAAAATAGAATATTGGTCAATTAAGTTGATTTAGGTGCTACTTACTATGCCTGAATCTAGTTTCACTAACGCTAGGCTAAGTCTTGAACTTTTGAGCTGACCGTTCACTTTCTTTGTAGCAAGAGGGCATCTCTTTGCCCCTTTATTGGTTGTATCAACTAAACTGCCCTTCCATATAGATCGTCGAGATTCTAGCTTCCTATTAATCTTGAAAAGTTCTAGCTTAGTTCTTTTTTTTTTGTTAGAATTATCTTTTTAATTAGACCGGACCCACTTTTATACTTATCCTACAAGTGCTATTGGGGACCCACTCAAAAGAAAAAACTTGAACTAAGAAAAGTCCACCCCTTAATAGATTAGGGCAGAATCAACTGGATTTAACTTATATCTACTGATAGTATAGAAGCTATGTTTAATTCGTTATAACATATTAATTTCCTTTCCTTTTTGTGTTTTTAGAATATGGCTCAGAGGGAATAGTGTCCACGAGTGGTGATGCTTATAGTTATGGTATAATGTTAATAGAGATATTGACAAGAAGCAGACCAACAAATGAGTTTTTCAATGAAAACATGAACTTGAGGCAATGGGTCAGTGAATCATTTCCAAGTTCTTTGAAGACAGTTGTTGATGAAAATATTTTATTTGGAGAAAATGAGATTTTCATATTTAGTATGATGGAGTTGGCTTTGGAATGCACAAAAGAAAGACAAGAAGAGAGGGTAAATATGAAAGATGTAGTGAATAGACTTGGTAAAACTAAAGAGGACCTCTTCTTGGAAACAAAGAAGAAAAAATCTTATGAGTAAAATTTTATTTATTTTTAGTTTATGGTTTAGTTATTCTTTAGGGAAAGTTACATATCTGATCGCTTGATCAAAAATATTTGTACTTACTAGCTACTTGTTATTCAATATATGTATATTGTATACACTAATTATACATATATCATATATTTATCGGCTATCTTTTTCTGCGGATCGCTAGTTATGTTAATTTATCATATTTTAGCCATTTATTGGCTAGTTATAACATATTGACTGATCCTTCCCTTTTACCAACTTTTAGTTCTTTTTACAAATTTGATGTCGATAAATTTGTTACCTAAAAGATTATTTCGACCAAGTGAACCTTCAGGGGATTTTTTTCTTTTTTCTTTTCTACTTTGTACCTATGAGATTCCTCTCCCTCAACCTGAAGCTTTGATTTTGAGTCTCGGAAACAAAGAATTAATTTTGGTTCACTAGTTAGAAAGGATTCATGATTTAAATTTTATGGATTTGAAACAATAGAATAGCGAAATCAGCATTTTACTCAAATATAGAAAGAAAATACTATCTTCTAATTAATTTAAATAGAGATTCAAGAAAAACATCTATTATATAGAAAAGATGACATTACGAGTAGTTTTTCATTCACAACATTAATTAATGATATCACATTAATTAATTAATATTCTAATTTATCTTCTAAGCTCCAATTCTGCAATAATGGCCAAAACAATCCTTCATGCAACCTTTCCATTGTTTGTCATCTGTACAAAATAAATATGTTAATGAATTTGAAAGAAAAAAAAGTAATAATAAGAAAGATAAAAAATAATTTCAAGATATGATCCATTACAATTTGAATAAACGAAAATGATTAATCCACTTATAGACAAATCTAAAACTTGAAGCTGATGAATTTCTACAATAATATCAAATTAAAGGTTGATTTATGCTAACGTTTCATTTTTAGGCCAATAATTAGATTTTGTCCCAATTTTCTTATAAATTGTGCAAATATAACACTTGGAAAGTTATCCTTCTAGACAACGTACCATGATCTATTGTTTCTCATAGAAAAATTTAATTTATTCAAAAGAATTTTTTTGACCGTGGTCTAAAAGGTCCATTAAATACAAAAGAAACAAAAAAATAAATATAGAGTTCAAACAAAAAATACTGAACTCACATGAACCATACCCCATACTATAGATTTGCCCCTATCATATAACCAAATAACATTTATAGCTAGTCATAAAACATAACCTCCCCAAATATTGAAAATTCTTTAAGATCTATATCAGAGAAAGAAATGACACGCCACACGTTAATCCCAAAGAGAAAATGATCTCTTGTGATCAGTTACGGCTTAACTAAAAAAATATCAGATAAAGATCTCATAGAAAAATTTAATTTATTCAAAAGAATTTTTTTGACTGTGGTCTAAAGGGTCCATTAAATACAAAAGAAACAAAAAAATAAATATAGAGTTCGAACAAAAAATACTGAACTCACATGAACCATACCCCATACTATAGATCTGCCCCTATCATATAACCAAATAACATTTATAGCTAGTCATAAAACATAACCTCCCCAAATATTGAAAATTCTTTAAGATCTATATCAGAGAAAGAAATGACACGCCACACGTTAATCCCAAAGAGAAAATGATCTCCTGTGATCAGTTACGACTTAACTAAAAAAATATCAGATAAAGATCTCATACATTCTACTTATCGATCTTCTTAACTAAAAGAACATTCGTAACGGAACATAAAAATCTATTCAAACTCCAAAAAAATTGAAAAAAAGAATGTACCTTTGATTAAACTTGCACACTTGTCAATTGAACAACCAAGATTGCAATAATCCATTGGAGAAAAAACATTTTTATTAAGAGAAGAAACTTGACATTCTCTTCCACATGATATATAACACCCAGGATTTTGGAAACATGCTTCACTACATTCCCTAAAACATTTTTGATCCAATTTACAATTAACAAATTGTGAATTAGAGATCAAAATGAGCATCACCATTAATTTCATAAATGAAATAATATTTGCCATATTTTTTTTTTTTGTTAACTTGTTTGTTCTCACTTTATGTTTTTGGGTGCCTTATAATATATAGATTTGAGTCATTAATTATTTGTGACTTATATAGTTGTTGTTGATCTTGCATTATATTACCACTATCTTCTTATATGGAAATTAAATTAAATGTATTTAAAATAATTGACTTTTTTACTTTACTATATATAATAAGTGAGAATATCTACTACTTAGCACATGACAAGTGTTGGATGATATGTGCTTAGATAGTGTTGAACATTCTTCTTTTATGGTTGTACCTTTAAAATTTATATTATTGGACAATTTAACACCATTAATTACCTACTACTTTATTAGCCGAAAAGTTTGACCTCATTTGGGCCCATTTATTATTTATATGTTTTCAATTTTCAATATATGTTGTCCATCTAATTCTTTTTTTCAACCTTTTATTTTAAACTTCTTGAAATTTAATTACATATTTATTACTCTCTCTATGCACTTTTAATTGTTATGATTTCCTTTTTAGAGTCAAACTATATAAGTATTAAGTGGGAATATCTACTACTTAGCAAATGACAAGTGTTGGATGATATATGCTTAGATAATGTTGTACATTCTTCTTTTATGGTTGTACCTTTAAAATTTATATTATTGGACAATTTAACACCATTAATTACCTACTACTTTATTAGCTGAAAAGTTTGACCTCATTTGGGCCCATTTATTATTTATATGTTTTCAATTTTCAATATATGTTGTTCATCTAATTCTTTTTTTCAACATTTTATTTTAAACTTCTTGAAATTTAATTACATATTTATTACTCTCTCTATGCACTTTTAATTGTTATGATTTCCTTTTTAGAGTCAAACTATAAGAATTTTAACTAATATTTTACAATGTTTTTTTTCATCATATTCATAGGCAAAAAATTACAATTTATAGTACTTTTTGTATAGATTTTGCATATTTAATTTTTTTGTTTAAAATATCGAATTAATACAATATGATTTAACTTTGAAAATTAGTCAAATGGACTTTTAAAAAGCGCAACATGACAAATACAAGTGGACGGAGAGAGTATATTTTAGCTACAAAATATATTAGATGTACAACTTTTTAAAAAAATTAAATTTTTATTGCGTTGACTCTTGAAATCTTATAATTGTCATATGAATTTGAACAAATTATATATTATTGAAAGTTACATAAAAGATGTTATAAATCACAATAATTAGCAATTAAAAATATTTTTAAATCATAACTATATATATATATATAATAAGTGGAAATATCTACTACTTAGCACATGACAAGTGTTGAATGATATGTGCTTAGATAATGTTGTACATTCTTCTTTTATGGTTGTACCTTTAAAATTTATATTATTGGACAATTTAACACCATTAATTACCTACTACTTTATTAGCTGAAAAGTTTGACCTCATTTGGGCCCATTTATTATTTATATGTTTTCAATTTTCAATATATGTTGTTCATCTAATTCTTTTTTTCAACATTTTATTTTAAACTTCTTGAAATTTAATTACATATTTATTACTCTCTCTATGCACTTTTAATTGTTATGATTTCCTTTTTAGAGTCAAACTATAAGAATTTTAACTAATATTTTACAATGTGTTTTTTCATCATATTCAGAGGCAAAAATTACAATTTATAGTACTTTTTGTATAGATTTTGCATATTTAATTTTTTTGTTTAAAATATCGAATTAATACAATCTGATTTAACTTTGAAAATTAGTCAAATGGACTTTCAAAAAGCGCAACATGACAAATACAAGTGGACAAAGAGAGTATATTTTAGCTACAAAATATATTAGATGTACAACTTTTTTAAAAATTTAAATTTTTATTGCGTTGACTCTTGAAATCTTATCATTGCCATATGAATTTGAACAAATTATATATTATTAAAAGTTACATAAAAGATGCTATAAATCACAATAATTATCAATTAAAAATATTTTTAAATCATATAAGAAATTTGGTTGACTAATTGGAATAGAATAAGTAACATGTACTATTTGAAAATAACGTAAAAAATTCTAGAATTCACAATAAATTGATAACTGAAAATATTTATGATTATTCACGTGAATTGAAACATGAGTAACCTATATTATTCAAAACTAACGCAAAAATACTATAAATCACAACAATTTAATGACTTCAAATATATTTTTAAGAAAACATATAAAAAATCGACTGATCTTCAAATCCCATTTATATCACATAAATTAAAACAAAAAAAATAATATTTATTGGGCCCGTGCTAGCACGGGCACCAAATATCTATATAAATATGTCACAAATGAAAAAGTCCCAATCAAGGAAGCAACATTTATCATTTACAAATGACTTAAAAAGCATTAAAAATTACAATAATTACCAATTTAAAATATTTAAAAGCTATATAATAAAATACGTTGACTCTCAGAATTCTATCAGGCTCACACATATTGGGACAAAAAAAATAACATTTTAAAATTACCAAAAAAGTATTATAAATAATAATAATTAACAACTTAAAATATCTGAAAGACATTTTAAAAGGGTTAATTTTGTAATTTTATCCATATCACATAAATTAGGACAAAGTGACTAGTAATGTACGTTATTTGAAAGTTACATAAAAATATTATAAATCACAATAATTAATAACTTAAAACATTTTTAAAAAAAATATGAAAATTTGGATGACTCTCCAAATTTCATTTGTGTCACATAAATTGAGACAACAAAAATAACATATATTGGGTCCATTTTAATTTATTTGTCTTATTTTTTTTATTTAAAAATTGTGTAAAAATACTATAAATCATGATAATTGACAAGATAAAATATGTTTTGAAAAAAATACAAAAAATTTCACTGATTCTTGAAGTGAATCTATCGTAAAAATACTATAAATCACGATAATTGACAACATAAAATATTTCAAAAATGTTGTATGTGTAGCATCAAAGAAAGTACAGGTTTGTGATAAAAAAACTTATTCATTTATCCACGCAAACAATCGCTTCAAAAACTCGGTTATTAGCCCCAAAACATACCATTTATATTATTGGGCCCGTGCTATTATCTAATATATCATATATATGAGAATTAAAGGATATATATTTAAACAGTT